AAAAAAGTGTTGAGAAAAAAAGAGCAGAAGTAAAATTAATTAACAGTAGGGAGGCTATATACAGGGGGGTACCGGTGCGGAGTAAATGTGCGGGGGCACCGGCTAGTTGAGGAAATATGTACAAGTGGGTAGAGTTAAAGTGACTATGCATAAATCATTAACAGAGTAGCAGCAGCGTAAAAAGATGGGGTGGGGGTGGGGGGGCAGTGCAAGTAGTCCGGGTAGCCATGATTAGCTGTTCAGGAGTCTTATTGCTTGGGGGTAGAAGCTGTTAAGAAGCCTTTTGGACCTAGACTTGGCACTCCGATACCGCTTGCCGTGCGGGAGCAAAGAGAACAGTCTATGACTAGGGTGGCTGGAGTCTTTGACAATTTTTAGGCCCTTCCTCTGACACGGCCTGGTATAGAGGTCCTGGATGGCAGGAAGCTTGGCCCCAGTGATGTACTGGGCCGTACGCACTACCCTCTGTAGTGCCTTGCGGTCGGAGGCCGAGCAGTTGCCATACCAGGCGGTGATGCAACCAGTCAGGATGCTCTCGATGGGCAGCTGTAGAACTTTTTGAAGATCTGAGGACCCATGCCAAATCTTTTCAGTCTCCTGAGGGGGAATAGGCTTTGTCGTGCCCTCTTCACAACTGTCTTGGTGTGTTTGGACCATGATAGTTTGTTGGTGATGTGGACACCAAGGAACATGAAGCTCTCAACCTGTTCCACTACATCCCGTCGATGAGAATGGGGGCGTGCTCAGTCCTCTTTTTTTCCTGTAGCCCACAATCATCTCCTTTGTCTTGATCACGAGGAGGGAGAGGTTGTTATCCTGGCACCACACGACCAGGTCTCTGACCTCCTCCCTATAGGCTGTCTCATCGTTGTCGGTGATCAGGCCTACCACTGTTGTGTCGTAAGCAAACTTAATGGTGGTGTTGGAATCGTACCTGGCCAAACAATCATGGGTGAACATTGAGTACAGGAGGGGCCCTGCGGCCTTGTGAATGTTGACCTGCTTAAAAGTCTTACTCACATCGGCTACGGAGAGCGTGATCACATAGTCATCCGGAACAGCTCATTTGCTCATTTGCACCCCAGTATCTCTATTTGCACATCTATCACTCCAGTGTTAATACTAAATTATAATTGTAATTATTTTGCACTATGGCCTATTCATTGCCTTACTTCCATAACTTACTACATTTGCACACACTGTGTATAGATTTTCTATTGTGTTATTGACTGTACGTTTTGTTTATTCCATATGTAACTCTGTGTTGTTGTTGTTTTTTCCGCACTGCTTTGCTTTATTACATTTACATTTTCGTCATTTAGCAGACGCTCTTATCCAGAGCGACTTACAGGAGCAATTAGGGTTAAATGCCTTGCTCAAGGGCACATCGACAAATTTTTCACAGTTGTAAATGAGAACTTGTTCTCAACTGGCTTACCTGGTTAAATAAAGGTGAAATAAAATAATACAATAAAAAAAGGAAAGGAAAGATAAAACACTAAAATCTAATTAAAACAAAAAAAAAATTCTCACATGCTTCTTAAAACAACAGTTGTAGACTAACAGTGAAATGCTTACTTACAGGCCCCTTCCCAACAACATAGAGAGAGAAAAAAATAAAAGAATCAGTAACGATAACTTGGCTATATACACAGGGTACCAGTACCGGGTCGATGTGCAGGGGTAATTGACTGAGGTAGATATGTACATACAGTGGGGGAAAAAAGTATTTAGTCAGCCACCAATTGTGCAAGTTCTCCCACTTAAAAAGATGAGAGAGGCCTGTAATTTTCATCATAGGTACACGTCAACTATGACAGACAAATTGAGAATTTTTTTCTCCAGAAAATCACATTGTAGGATTTTTAATGAATTTATTTGCAAATTATGGTGGAAAATAAGTATTTGGTCACCTACAAACAAGCAAGATTTCTGGCTCTCACAGACCTGTAACTTCTTCTTTAAGAGGCTCCTCTGTCCTCCACTCGTTACCTGTATTAATGGCACCTGTTTGAACTTGTTATCAGTATAAAAGACACCTGTCCACAACCTCAAACAGTCACACTCCAAACTCCACTATGGCCAAGACCAAAGAGCTGTCAAAGGACACCAGAAACAAAATTGTAGACCTGCACCAGGCTGGGAAGACTGAATCTGCAATAGGTAAGCAGCTTGGTTTGAAGAAATCAACTGTGGGAGCAATTATTAGGAAATGGAAGACCTACAAGACCACTGATAATCTCCCTCGATCTGGGGCTCCACGCAAGATCTCACCCCGTGGGGTCAAAATGATCACAAGAACGGTGAGCAAAAATCCCAGAACCACACGGGGGGACCTAGTGAATGACCTGCAGAGAGCTGGGACCAAAGTAACAAAGCCTACCATCAGTAACACACTACGCCGCCAGGGACTCAAATCCTGCAGTGCCAGACGTGTCCCCCTGCTTAAGCCAGTACATGTCCAGGCCCATCTGAAGTTTGCTAGAGTGCATTTGGATGATCCAGAAGAGGATTGGGAGAATGTCGTATTTGTCAGATGAAACCAAAATAGAACTTTTTGGTAAAAACTCAACTCGTCGTGTTTGGAGGTCAAAGAATGCTGAGTTGCATCCAAAGAACACCATACCTACTGTGAAGCATGGGGGTGGAAACATCATGCTTTGGGGCTGTTTTTCTGCAAAGGGACCAGGACGACTGATCCGTGTAAAGGAAAGAATGAATGGGGCCATGTATCGTGAGATTTTGAGTGAAAACCTCCTTCCATCAGCAAGGGCATTGAAGATGAAACGTGGCTGGGTCTTTCAGCATGACAATGATCCCAAACACACCGCCCGGGCAACGAAGGAGTGGCTTCGTAAGAAGCATTTCAAGGTCCTGGAGTGGCCTAGCCAGTCTCCAGATCTCAACCCCATAGAAAATCCCCAAAACATCACTGCTCTAGAGGAGATCTGCATGGAGGAATGGGTCAAAATACCAGCAACAGTGTGTGAAAACCTTGTGAAGACTTACAGAAAACGTTTGACCTGTGTCATTGCCAGCAAAGGGTATATAACAAAGTATTGAGAAACTTTTGTTATTGACCAAATACTTATTTTCCACCATAATTTGCAAATAAATTCATAAAAAATCCTACAATGTGATTTTCTGGAATTCTTTTTCTCATTTTGTCTGTCATAGTTGACGTGTACCTATGATGAAAATTACAGGCCTCTCTCACCTTTTTAAGTGGGAGAACTTGCACAATTGGTGGCTGACTAAATACTTTTTTCCCCCACTGTATAGGTAGGGATAATGTGACAGGATAGATAATAAACAGTAGCAGCAGCGTACGTGATTAGTCAAAATAGTTAGTGCAAAAAGTGTCAATGCATATAGTTAACCAATAGCTACCAGACTAACAGTCTTGGCTTGGGGGTAGAAGCTTTTCAGGGTCCTGTTGGTTCCAGACTTGCTGCATCAGTACCGCTTGCTGTGCAGTAGCAGAGAGAACAGTCTGACTTGGGTGGCATTTTTAGGGCCTTCCTCTGACACTGCCTGGTATAGAGGTCCTGGATGGCAGGGAGCTCGGCCCCAGTGATGTACTGGGTCATACGCAATACCCTCTGTAGAGCTTTGCGGTCGGATGCCAATCAGTTGCCATACCAAGCAGTGAGGTAGCCAGTCAAGATGCTCTCTATGGTGCAGCTGTATAACTTTTTAAGGATCTGAGGCCCGAATATTTTCAGTCTCCTGGGGGGGAAGAGGCGTTGTCATTTTTAGGAGCAAGACAACAGAGTTTCAAGCTAGCTAAGAAGCTAGACTGTGCGGTCTACTTGACCAACGCAACGTCGTTAATGTTTTCTTACTGTTTCCACTATATATCAGCAAGAAAAAGGAGCTGATCATGGACTACAGGAAACGGAAGGCCGAGCACGCCCCAACCACATCGACGGGGATGTAGAGCGGGTCGAGAGCTTCAGGTTCCTCGGTGTCCACATCACTAAGGAACTATCATGGTCCACACACACACCAACACAGTCGTGAAGAAGGCATCTTCACGACACACACCAACACAGTCGTGAAGAAGGCATCTTCACGACTGTGTTGGTGTGTGTGTGTGAAGAAGGCATCTTCACGATTGTGTCCACGATTAGCTCCTTCTTGCTGACTATTACACATATTTGTTTTTCATTCTCATTGTTATCGAACAGTTTATATCTATGTCTGGTAAATGTGCCCACGTTTCTCATGCCATGGAACATGTAGTAAATATATAGAAAACGACCAACAAAATTGAGCCAGTTAAATAATGTAAACCATTTACATCAGCGGCCACACTTTCACCCATTGAATGAGAGTATTGGAGCCATTGAGGGAGTTCTATTGACCTGAGCCGCGGTGCACCGGTCTATGGCCCGTGACGTTAACGGGCAAAAAAGCGGCAAGAGAGAAGCCCCCTCCTGAAATCGAACAGGAATGTGCGTCGCTCGGTCATGTTGTCAACCAGGCGGCATGGTGCATCGTCCATAAACATACAACATCTCTTTTCCATAAAATATATGTTTGAATTTTCATACTAGAGTTGTTCATTGGGAAAGCAGATAAAGCGTGTTTATCAAAAGCAATCACTTTTGCATGTGAAAACAAGGAATCCTACTCATTATTCCGCGTGCTTAATCTTTTGTTTTGCGCCGATTTCACCGTGGGCCTTTGTAAGGGGCACCTGGCTCACCGCTCACGCCCGGCCCCAAAACGAATGCAATCACTTTCACTCCTTGCAAATCCCTCCAACCCGGGTAACCCGGGACAGATCATCGAATTCCCATATTGAAGGGAGCCTATATTACGTAGCTAACTGCATCCACATCACAACAATCAGACAATTCAGAGAAAAACAAGGAAGTGAACAGTCACGTAACTGTTATCTCCGTTTTTAGTATTCAAACGGTCCTGATAGAAAAATACATATAACTTCAGAATCATCGTCTTCGACTCAGAAAACCACACACCAATTCAGGACAATGAACAACAAAGGTAATTTAGCTAACGTCCAAAATCATTGTTGTATAAGCTCGCTAGCTAACAGCGGATACCGTTAGTTAGTTATCTAAGAAGCTAGACTGCACGGTCTACTTGGCCGACGTCGTTAATGTTTTCATTATGAATTAGATAAATAGCTACAGTTGTTTAAATCGTGAGTCGACCGGTAAGTAGCCAGCTAGCTTTACATCTATGTTGCCAAATACGTAACGTAAGCTAGCATTAGCTACAGGCTAATTAGCGCGTAGCCGCGTACTCTGACCTCACAACCATGAATACAACACTATTCAGCTAGCGAGTTAACAGCATTAGGACCTGTCATAGTCACTATTATGTAAGTTGGCTAACTGTATTGTTCTGACTATATTAACGTGGCTAGCTAGCCAACTGTAATCATTATATTGATTTAGTCTTTTTCTGTTCTGTTAGCCAGCCATAGGTACATTTCTTTTGTTAGAACGTCTGTAGTAGGTTAACCTAATGTTGCAGGCGTAAAAAGACGCCTGAGCGGAGTTCCCAGATCCGTTTAAGTGGAAACGGAAGTTTGGATGAAAATACTGTATTGTTCCCATTAGACAACATAGCCACAAAGTTAAAATTGGCTATCGTACAAATTCATGGGGGGGGTATTAATTTAAGGTTAGCGGTGTGGGTAAGGTTAGGTTTAAAATCTGATTTTAAGTAGACAAAATGTAGAAATAAACGGGGTTTATGACTGGCCGTGTTAACTAGTGACGCCCCATATTGTATACCTGAACTGGAAAAATCCGCTTTCCTCCGACCCCACGAAGAGTGGTCATATATTAACAATTTAGCCTTCAATATTGTTTTGCTATTGTGTGAAGTTTGAGTAAAAAAAAAAGTGTTGGTAGTGATAATAGCAGAATATTATTTTGTGAATCACAGGTTCCTATCCCCAGCAAGCTGTGTACCCTCAGCAGAGCAGTGCACCCATCTACCCCCCTGCTATGCAAGTGTCTCCCCAGGCACCCCCTTACACAGACGCACCACCTGCATACTCAGAGGTAACAAGTTTATTCCAAGTGTAAATGGTTATCTACTTTTGTGAAGAGTTTTCACAATCATATCAATACAAACACTCTGACAGACTGTCTCTAACACTCCCCTTTTCATTCCATTACGCCAAAGATTTATCAGCCCAGGTATGTGCACCCATCTCAGGCTGGCCAGCTACAGCAAATGGCCCAGTACCCTGGCACTCAGATGTACATGCAACTGCCCCAGTCCATGGCTGTTGGACCAATGGGCCACAACGTCCCCATGGCATACTACCCCATGGGAGCCATGTATCCCCCTGGCTCCACTGTGCTAGTGGAGGGAGGATATGACGCTGGTGCTCGATTTGGGCAAAGCAACAGTGCTTCCATCCCGGTGAGTATCCGCAAAACGCCTAAGCTATATCAGGGGTGTCAAACTCAATTCCTGGTGGGTGGTGTGTTTGCTGGTTTTTGTTATTTCCTTTCAATTTGTGTCTAATTAAGACCTATACAACCAAGTGAGGGGAAAGTCATCAATAACCTTAATAAGTACAAGGGAGGAGCCTAGTATACTGCCTGTGTCATTAACAAATATTGGTAAAGTTACTCATGCATGTGACTTTCTTTCCCACTCACCTAAACACATCACAGCCCCCACCTCCTGGCCACATGCCTAATGCAGCTCAACTGGCCGCCATGCAGGGTGCCAACGTCATGATGACACAGCGCAAGAACAACTTCTTCATGGGTGGCTCCAATGGTGGGTACACCATCTGGTAACCGCCAGCATTTGCCACAACTTCTCCCCATACTCCTCTCCCTCATTCAAAATGATGACTCCCTCTCCTGTCCCATCCGCCAACCCCTTTCGGGCTGCTTGGCCATGCCACAATACTGATATCACTTAACGGAATGTAATACTTTAGAGCCCCGATAAAAGGTACAGTACTCCACTTTCGATCCAGAGTCAAATGTCTTAATTACGGACTCATAATTTGGGCTGCTGAACCGGTTCCCTGACCTTACAAGGATAGTGCTGCTGTCTTCAGTCAAAACACATTTAATATGTTACTGGTTATATTTTCGTTTTGAGTGAATGACATCGATCTAAACTCTTAACTGTCACCATTTTGTACTTTATTATTTATGTTTTTCATGTTTATTTGGACTTGGCCTCATGTCTTCCTCACAAAGAGTGCTAACGATCCAAGCAGTGCGTCACATATACTATTTTTGAAAAATATTTTTGGCTGTTTAATATGCCCATCTAAAATCAGTTTCTCCGGCCACCGGATTCATTTGAATCAGATAAAATATAGACGTGTGCTGTAGTGTAATAGAATACTGGTATGTTAAACAAGAACCAAAACAAACAAGAATGGATTACAAAATTATAACCAGATTCTTACATGCCATGGTGGTTTACTGTACCTTCTTGGGCAACTGTAGATGAACATAATCGGGTGCCAAACAGCACCGTGACTTAAATAAAAGAGAATTAACTTAAAATACTTAAGAACGGAATTCAGTGTGATTCCAAATTGAGATTTGGATCATCGAAAGGGTTGGTTGGCTTTACATTTTTGCAGTTATATATTTTTTTCCCCCTAAGTCGGATACCCAGAGTTGTACATCATTCCAGTGTTTGGTTTCGTTAAGTAAAACAGTGGCACCCACCAACCGGTTCTTAAAACACGAAAAAGCACTGACAAGTAAGCTAGAATCACCTACTAAGATCAGTGTGTTATAGGAGTTTAACACTTTACTTTAACCCTTCGTTATAAGGGCTGCAGTGTTATGAAGTTTAAAATATAACCAGTTTGTTTCTTGTCCATCTCTCGGGCTCATCTTCAAGTGATTTGTTTGAATCAATTACTAGTTACTTACTTTGTAAGTATAACCAAGGAGCTGGTTGTACCAAAGATATGGTCTAGATTGCACTACTAAATGTTTGGTTGTGACTTAATTATAGTTCAAATATGGCACATTTTAAAAAGGCAAACATATCAAACAGTGATGGGTTTGATGGTACTTAAGACATTCGATCTGCCATTTGTTGCTGTATTTTGTAATGGGGTGCTTAAATGTTGTTTAATGTAATTGTGACTAGGTGGTTCTGCATGCCTTTTTGCACTTTTGCTCTGTACAACTGATTTTTGTGAAGATGTATCATTGCTAATTTTTATAGAAATACCACAATTTATGTGCACTTCTGGAATTGATAGATTTTGCTACTTGTTTTGAGTACAAATGCCAATAACCTGCAAATACAGCGCTAGGCAACTCTTTCCTGTGCAACTTATTTAAGGAATTCATTTCATTGAAATGTACTTTCACTCCAAAAGGGTGAGGTTCATAAATGTTTTAGGACGGCAGCAAATCACTTGCATATGGTTCCCCTTGCCCGATTTGTTTATTGTAGTGTTAAGCCACATTATTTATGAATAAATATGCATTGCATCAGTCGAGCTTACACAACTGTTTATTTTCCAATACACTTATGTGCGCTGCTAATTAAACTACCTTATAACCTTAAGTAATAAATATCTAACACTAGGTTTGATCCAGTTTGTGAGAACGCCTGGATTCAAGAATTAGATATTTTGGTTTAAACATTGTGCAATTTATTTTTCCTTATGTAATGCAACTCATGTCTTGTATGTTCTGATAGAAAGTAATGTCACTGGGTATCCGACTTAGCCTAGATTTGATAGTTGTGGCCCTCATGAAAACAGAAGTAGTCCTCACTGAAATGTGAATTCCAGGTTACTTTGGTCAGTTGACCAGCTGTCTGGAAACCTGTTAGCGTAGCATGCAACCTGTTTGCACATAATGTATTATCAGACTGCATCTGCTCTTGGTTATACTGATCACATGACTAGCTACCATTCCAAACATGGTTGTCATGTCACTCATTTTGCACAGCTGTAAATGTGTATCCCATTCCTAAACACATGCTGATGCTTCATACTGTTGAAAAAGGGGTCACAGCTTTCAAAATGTGAAAAAAAAAAACCCTCATACAATTGTTTTGTTTCTTTCTGTCCCAGACCCGACTATCATGTTTGTAACGCAGCAACAATGTACATATGATGTACCGTAATGCTTACCAGTAGATGCCATGCCAACCACAGCCAGTGTGGAGTAAAAGTTTCTGTTGAAGGATTTATGGACATTTATAGTTCAGGGATTCTCTAACATTTTTATAATATGGATATGTATTAAAGTGATTTGATGGACTACGGTACTTTCTTTTAAGATTACTTAGTGTCACTTTGGTTTGAGACATGCGTCTGGAAGAAATAACTCTTTGCAAAGGAACTTTGGTGCAGTTAACTTTTTATACTAAACGTACAATTTAAAGTTGAAAAATTTAGAATAAAGGATATTTTGGACATTTGAAATGCTACCTGTTCCGAGTGCTTTTCCATCATTTATTTTTAAAAATGTTGGTGTCATGCATCAGGACTCAAGCTGCTCAAGTAGCACTGTATGAATCGTAAGAGGTGAAGAAATGTTTACAGTGCATAAACACCTTCTCCATGATAAATTAAATGCACATTGAAAGGTGATGATAATACTCTTGTTCTGTCCACCTATCACATAGCTAGCTGTATTAAGGCCATTCAACAGTGAGTGATTCAAAAGAAACAAGCTTTATTGCCATGTCAGACCTGCAGTCTCAAATTGAGGTCTGTCATGCCACTTACTACCTTAAGATACTTCAGTAAGATCATACAAACACAAGATGGTGTATTTGGTAATAGTAACCGATACAAAATAACATTTCCCGTTTAGCTGCCCAGTTTTGAACAACTGGTAAATTATTGTATAATGACATAAAATAAATCAGTGCCTTCTACTGATCAACAAATACAATTTCCCCATTTAGCCCCCAGGATATTTATTTTTTAAACCCTTCAATCAGAAAATACAGAAAATGTAAAAGCCTTCAGAGTTGACACATGGGGAGCAGATTGATAACTAAATGTGATGACACAGATGAAGGCATATTTATATGATGCCATCTTAGACATTTCCCCACAAGAAGCTCATTAAGTCCTCCATCCACCAGTGTTAAACACAGTTCTCTTACCTTGCACACAACTTAAGTTGTGAACCCATCAGCTTGAACACACACTTTTACTAATTAATCTCATCTCTTTCCCAGCTTATGTGCCTATACGTGAGTGTTTTCTTGGGTAAAATCTATGTAGGTTTTCAATTCCGCAGATATACCGTAGATGTCCATCAAAGATTGTCATTTTCCTATTTCCTGTCAGTTTGGCAGAGAAGATTTTGTTAAACACCCACCCACAGTTCTCACATTCCTACTTGTCATCAAGTTCAAATGAAATACTCCTTCTTTTCATCAGTTACGATGTCACCGTGGGCCAGATCACGGTCCTCCCCCGGGGCCGGTTCTCCTGTGGTTCTGTAGGCACCCTTGTTGTGGCACAAGTACCGGTACAGAAGGAAACCCAGGCCAGCTAGCGTCAGCAGTACAAGCACGATGACCACTGGGGAGAGAGAGTCAACTGCTTTTAGAATAGGGACTGAAGTTCAGCTAAGGATAGATGCATACGCTTTAAAGGTAGACAGCGATATGACGTAGATGCAGAACATAAACCGCACATGCGCAGATACTGTGTGTGACCGTGTGAGAGCGAAGTCTTGCATCTCTATCATCTCAATATCTGCGGTGCTACTCGTGGGAACGTCATTTCGCGGAGTCTACCTTTAAAACATAGGGTTTTGCACATTCTTAATCCAAATGTTTGTTTTTTATCATACTGAAGTGAAAATAAAAATAGTTCAAATAAATCAGGCTTACTTCCAATGACGGTAGAGGAGTCCGTATGACTGGGAAGTGCTGTTGTAGGACTCATCTCTGTTGCTGAAGACATAAAACATGTTGACACACAATCAGTTTCATACTGTAGGCTGTGCTAGTATAAACATGAGAAACTGCATCATTTTCTCAATACAGGGAAATCTGAACTGTATTTTATTACACAGTAATCTGTTTACAAACGGCTAAACTGAAACATGCCAGCACCTCAGGTCCAGCCCATGTTTATTTTTGAATCTATTTGACATAACGCACTGGCTTAATCAGAGGTAAACGACAGAGCCGTCATGAAAAAGGGTTAGGTGTCATCAACTCTAAAGGAAAATATGGCTACAGTATTTCATTGACACACAGACTTCAAAATTCAAATAAACGTATTTTGTCTTTGTGAAATAAGTGCAATATAAAATGGCATTTCTCTAACACAAAAAAATGGACATCCCACTCACCTGTCATGGGAATAGATGTCATGGTGATTGATTTCAGATTCACAAGCTATGGAACAAATAAAAAGTACAGTACTTAGTACAGTCATTGTTTACACAACACACAAACTCAGACTTAAAAGGCACTGTATTCCTAACCAATACAGTACTACATTCTGTAGTTACAGATTGTACACCAGAATGGATATAACCAAAGATGTTGGTGTGCATTACAGGGCTTTACAGGAAAGCCCTATAAAAACCACCTCCACAGATTTTTCAACTAATCTTCAATCTCGATTCGGTGAAAAAAAGTATATTAGAAATGTCCGTTTCCAGTTGCAGGCGGTTCTACAAAAACCATAGAAAATTTAGAAAGATATTAAATCCATGTTTTGTATCGAGTGAGATATGCCTCTTGCATGTGTGTAGAGCTTTGTTTTGGTCGCACTGTAACGAGCTGTCATCTAATGCTACACCTAGCCGTGCCGCATAAAAACTAG